GGGGTGCTTGGCTATTGGCAGTGCAGCAATCAGGGCTGCAGGTATGTGAAGACCATATGCCATATGTACGCTATTAATTCTCTAAACATCTGGAGTCACTGTTCTGAGGTTTTGATGGAGTAAATGAAATTATGTTCTCCAACCATATCAACTACAAAAGTAGACAAACAGAAGACCACAGTTTTATTACAGTGAACAGGAGATAGCACAAGTCAGTCATCTCCAGAAGCAGAAAAGAAAATGTGGGAAAACATGCTTTCGATTTTTTTTTTCTACAGAAGAGGGTGCTTCAGGAACATGACAGGCAGAGTCATGGGCAGTTTCAGGGAGAAAAGGGAGCAGAGACTCATGCCCAGGAGGTGGCACAGGGTAGAAAATTGAAAGAAAGTGCTTACTGGAAGGAAATTGTCTAGACAGAGTTTTCCACACATTGTCAAGGTGCTATTCCATATAAAGTAAATGCTTCCAAGGCCAGACAAGTGATAACTCGAGGGCAGTAACACCCAAGCAGTTCACAGAATTAACATGGGGCAATCCAACCAGAGTACAGGTTTCTTGATGATCACTTGAGACTTTCTGTAGAGACCCTGGACTGGACTGCTTTGTAGAGAAGCTAGCCTCACCAGAGGAAAGAAAACTTCAGAATCACTAATACACCACCTGGTTCTTCCTAAGAGAAAGTCCAACTGTCCTTAGAAGAGCAAGACAGAAAATCCCCCCAAAATGTCAAACATTAAAGACAAAGCAGCGCCATTCTTTACCAGAAAACAAAATATCAATACAAACACATCTAAAGAGAAACAAAGACGGGATTTTTAAAAAAATGCTAAGAGCATGAAAAGAAATATGACTAGAGAATAATATAATAAAGAACCCACCGTAAGGTCAAGAAAGTAAAACATAATATGTTAAATGAGAAAACCATGGATGAGGTTCTCAGCAGACTGGACACTGATAAAGAACAGAATGAGGTCCCTGAAGACAGCCATAAACCACCCAAAGAGCAGACCACACAGGGCAGTAAGGAGCAGAGGCTCAACGGTGAAGGGTGGATCAAATGAATGATGCAAGGGAGACAAAAGAAGTGAAGAAACCACAAGGAAATATTTAGGAAGACAGAAAGTCTCAAAAGTATATTTTTGTTTATGGTGGAAGTTAAGTAAACACAAACATTTGCCATAATTAGTCTGTTGATTAAATGAGCTAAGGTTACTAATGCTTTCAATTTATAACTAAATAAAATTGATGAAATTATTTTACACAAAATAAAATCTGCACTGAGAACTTTAAGAGCTAGAGGGTCTTGGGTAAGCCATGGAATGTAGGAGGACCTGGCCAGAAGGGTTTATAATGTGAAATAAAATGTATTGCAGATGCATTTGAAATTGATCATACTAACTCATAATCCAACATAATTTGAACATGTATGTTGGTATAATGTTCTTTTGGAATGTATACATTTTACCCTTGTTCATTCAAATGCTGATTTCCCTCCCCCACTCTCTGGTTTCAATCCAAACATTGCACTGTTATATTTACTCTAAGCATCACCTGTCTCAACTTTGTGTAAACATGCCAAAATAAAGCAACTAGCCACAATGCTGAGCAAAGGAAAGGAAGCAGGAAAAGAGGGAGGAGCCAGAGGACAGGAAAGTGGGAGGGAGAGAAGGAGAGAAGAGCAGAAGAGAGCTGGGAGAACAAAGGCAGGAGCAGAGATCTTGGAACATTGTGGAGAGATGAGCTGGACCTAATATAAATCACTAAAAGCAAGTATAATGTGGGAAATCTAAATGTTAGGAAACTATGCGGGTTTCGAGGTTTAGGATGGAACAACTATTGCCCAGCATTGTGTTCTAGGTTAATTAAATAAATCCCAGTATCTGTGTGGTGATTTGGGTATACAGCTGTTTAGGATTAACAGCAGCTTTACCAGAAGATATATCAATAGTAAATATTAATAGTCACCTACAACGTATGTATATGATTTTTTTAAGGTATTAATTTCTATTGCTTTTTAGTAGCTTCTTTTCAAAAGCAAGGGATTTGTTGTGACTTGTTTCAAAATTATTAAGGGGAAAAAGAAATTTCTTCATAAAGTGCCACTACTCCATGTGCATACTCAGCCAGCACACACACAGACATACATCTACACTTATGTTACATCAACCATCCATGTAATATAGGACATGGCTGTGATAATCTAGAATTTGAGTTGCTCAAATGGTGCACATGATGTCTGTGCATGCAGTCCAGAATTTTTCAAAAGGTAATTCACTAGAAACAACGCAATAAAAATATAATTAAAAAGTCAAAGTTTTTGATATACGGATGAGGTCAGGCCTCAAGAAAGAAAATGCCAAGCAAACCATGTTCCCTTGTATTCATAGAAATTACTCACTGGCAAAATAGACTTATGTTTCTATCTTTTTTTACCTTATTGAAAATAGAATTTTTCATTATATGATATATCCTAATTACGGTTTTTCCTCTTTCTATTCCTCCCAGCTCCTCCACACATCCCCTTTGATCTGGATCTACTCCATGTCTGTCTCTCATTAGAAAGAAAAAAAAAACAGGCTTCTAAGAAATAATAATAAAGCAAAACATGATAAATAAAATATTATAAGGTAAAACAAAAACTAACATACCAGAGTTGGACAGAACAAACAAACAGAAGAAAGAGAGCCTAGGAGAAGGCAAAAGAATCAAAGACCCACTAGATTTGCACACTCAGGAATCCCATAAAAAACACTTAAGTAGAAGCCATCTGGCTTCTGAATCAACACGAGCGAAGCTCATAGGAACAGAGAAGCTGAAGCAGTGTACACAGGGCAGGGCCTGTGTGGGTCTGCACCAGGTTTTCTCTCTCTCCCTTCCTCCCTCTCTCTCCTCTCTGTCTCTCTCTCTCTCTCTCTCCTCTCGTGTGTGTGTGTGTGTGTGTGTGTGTGTGTGTGTGTGTGTGTGGTGTGTGTGTGTGTGTGTGTGTGCATGCGTGTGCCACCTGTTGTGGGTGCTGGGAACTGAACTTGGGTCCTTTAAAAAGATGAGAAGCACTCACAATTGTTGAACCATCTTTTCCACACCGTTTTTGTTTTGAATTATGTGCACGTTTGTGCCTGAATGTGAGTTTGTGCACAGGAGTGCAGTGCCAAAGAAGACCAGAAGAGGGCGGTTGATTCCTGGAGCTGGAGTTGGAGGATATTGCACGCTACCTGATGTGAAGACTGGGAACTGAATTCTGATCCTCTTGAAGAGCAGTATGCAGTCGTAACCACTGTCCACCTCAAAGGTTAGTCTTAACTGCTTAACAGGGTGCTCGGAGCTTTCAGTTCGCAGTGTACCACACCGTATGCACAGTGCTCTGTTTGCCAAGCCTCTTATCTCCTCCCGGACATGCACGCACTCATTAAGCCCACCCAAGCCACTCAGATTTGTTGATCCCTACATTGTGTTGAAAAATCAACATAAGTAAGGATTTTTTTTTTTTTTTTCCTATTTGTATAAAACCTTTGACCGGCTTCCAGAACAACTTCTAAAATGAATCATACACTTTTCCAAAACAACCAAACTTGGCATACTGCCCTAGAAGTTCCTGGTTGATCTTATTTCACTGACAGGCTCTTCTAAATTGGGGAAGTAAAATCACTTATCATACATTTGTTTGACTTATCAAAATAAATGGTATTTATGGCCATATTGGATAATTTCCCATTATTATGCACGCTTCACGCTTCAATGATCATTGGGTACTTTAAATTATATTTAAAAATATTAAACACCTAATAAAAATAATTAATAACTCATATATATAAAACTTTCCAAATGTCTTAAAAATATCGGACTAATTTATAAAAATTTTACAAATAACGTAGGAAATGCTATTTTCTGTGTACTATTAAAAAATCCATATATTCTCACAGACTGACAGGAGAAATCTACACTCATTATCTAGGGTATTAAATTTTCAAGACCAAATTCTTTCCTTAACAAAACTGACCTTTACAAATGTCAAAAAATTAATACCTTAGAAAATGTTGTGCCACAATTTAAATGAATGGAAAAATTTGGGAATTTGAAAGAAATGCTAATAGTTGCTCTTTTCCTCCCCGCGAGAACACTGCCTCATAGTCCAGTTTTATACTAATGCTTTTACCAGTTATGTGGATTGGATTTCTTCAGCCGAAATAATGGTGAGCTTCCAGCATAGCTTTCACTGCCTGGCGCCCTGCCCCTTGGTTTGCTACTAGAAGCTGTGATTAGTTTCCCCTCCCAACGTCCATCTTCTTTACTGCAGTTCTAAGCCTGCAGTTCTAAGCCTATGATCTTTTTGTTTTCTCTTCTTTCGTTTACCTAAAGGACTTGTCCAACTTCAACGTTTCTTCATCAAGTCTTAGAATCTTTTCTGTCATACTCTTTTTATTGGTATTAACACTTGTCCTGGAGGCAGTGGGGCCTGGGCCATTTAAGAGTACAGGGATTTGAGTCCCAGCACTCACACTGGAGCTCACCAGCAGCTGTAACTTTAGTTCCAGGAGATCAAAGGCCTCCCACGCGAGTGGAGCACGGACATACAGCCGGACAAAACACCTATACTCATGAAAATAAAATTAAAGATTTTTTTTAAACTTTAAGTGTTAGCAGGCCTTGTTACAATAATATCTAAAATATTTTTTCCTGAGACATAATATGTGGGAATAAAAATATTTATCCTATTTTAAACTTCTGCCTTACGGGGACATAAAACGATATTTAATTATTTATAATAATATTGAACCTGAATGTGAAAAAGCAAGCATTAGAAATCTGGGCCTCGCTGCTGGACCCTTACTACAACACTTTGCAAAACAAAGCAGTTGAGCATGCGCGCAGCTGCAGCCGGTCAGTGGCGCCTGCGCGCAGTAGCTGCAGCCCCGTGGCGCATGCGAGGACTTTCCTCAACAGTCGCTGAGCCGTGAGGACGTTGACCTCCGCTCCCTCTTTGCTGCGAGCAGCCTGAAGCCATGGCCTTGGTCCTAGACGCCGCAGTGGACTCTGAGACCTCACAGGTGCTCCAGGACGTGGCCAACCGCCTGCGAATCCACTCAATCAGGGCCACGTGCGCCTGCAACTCGGGCCATCCCACGTCGTGCTGCAGCGCCGCGGAGATCATGGCGGTGCTCTTCTTCCACACCATGAGGTACAAACACACAGACCCAGAACACCCTGACAACGACCGCTTTGTCCTCTCCAAGGGCCACGCTGCGCCCATCCTCTACGCGGTTTGGGTGGAGGTGGGCAGCATGTGCGAATCCGAGCTGCTAAACTTGCGGAAAATCCACTGCGACCTGGAGGGCCATCCCACCCCTCGGCTGTCGTTTGTGGATGTGGCCACGGGGTCTCTCGGGCAAGGACTGGGTGCTGCGTGTGGAATGGCGTACACCGGTAAGTACTTTGACAAGGCCAGCTACCGGGTGTTCTGCCTCATGGGGGATGGTGAGTCCTCTGAAGGCTCTGTCTGGGAGGCCTTGGCCTTTGCTTCCCACTACAACTTGGATAATCTTGTAGCCATCTTTGACGTGAACCGCTTGGGACAGAGCGGTGCTGCACCCTTAAAGCACTGTACAGACGTCTATGAGAAGCGCTGCCAAGCGTTCGGCTGGAACACTTACGTCGTGGATGGGCACGATGTCGAAGCCCTCTGCCAGGCCTTTCAGAAAGCAGCTCAAGTCAAGAGCAAACCTACTGCCCTGATTGCCAAGACCTTCAAGGGTAGGGGTATTCCAAATGTTGAGGATGCAGAAAATTGGCATGGGAAGCCTATGCCCAAAGACAGAGCTGATGGAATTGTCAAATTAATTGAGAGCCAGATAAAAACAAACAGAAACCTCAAACCAAAGGCACCTGTGGAAGACTCACCCCAGATCACCATCTCCGATATAAAAATGAGCTCTCTACCTGCATATAAACTGGGTGATCCGATAGCTACTCGGGAAGCATATGGCTTGGCTCTGGCTAAACTGGGCCATTCTAACAAAAGAGTTATTGTTCTAGACGGTGACACAAAAAATTCTACTTTTTCGGAGATATTCAAGAAAGAACACCCTGAGCGTTTCATAGAGTGCTTTATTGCGGAACAAAACATGGTAAGTGTGGCACTGGGGTGTGCCACACGAGACCGAACCATTGTTTTTGTTAGTACCTTTGCTGCCTTCCTGACCCGAGCCTTTGATCAGATCCGAATGGGAGCCATCTCTCAAACCAACATCAACTTTGTTGGTTCCCACTGTGGGGTATCCATTGGAGAAGATGGGCCTTCCCAGATGGCCCTGGAGGATCTAGCCATGTTCAGAAGCATTCCCAACTGCACCGTTTTCTATCCAAGCGATGCTGTTGCTACAGAGTATGCTGTTTATCTGGCCGCCAACACCAAGGGTATGTGCTTCATTCGGACCAGCCGGCCAAAAACTGCAGTCATTTATACTTCACAAGAGAACTTTGTGATTGGACAAGCCAAGGTGATCCGCCACAGTGCAGTTGACAAGGTGACAGTTATTGGAGCAGGAGTTACTCTACATGAAGCCTTAGTAGCTGCTGATGAACTAGCTCTGCAAGGTATTTCTATTCGGGTCATTGACCCATTCACTATCAAGCCCCTGGATGCTGCCACCATCATCCAAAGTGCCAAAGCCACAGGTGGCCGGATCATCACAGTGGAAGATCACTACCGAGAAGGTGGCATTGGGGAAGCCGTATGTGCAGCCATCTCTAGAGAGCCTGACATCCTTGTTCAGCAGCTTGCGGTAACAGGAGTGCCTCGAAGTGGGAAACCTAGTGAACTGCTGGAAATGTTTGGAATCAGTGCCAGACACATTATAGCAGCTGTGAAAGACGCCGTAATGAAATGAAATAGCCCGTTTCTTCATACATCAAGGCTGTTGGCTTTGGTCGTAAACACTGATCTTTGCGTCACATTTATGCTTGTTATAAAAAAAAAAAAAAAAATCTTACAGAGTTATGCTGATTTTAAGGCATCACTTGGGATACCTTTCTTTTTTTCTTTTTTCTTTTTTTTTTTTTTTTTCTTCTAGGCAGGGTTTCTCTGTATTGCCTTGGCTGTCCTGGCTTTGTAGATCATGCTGTCCTCGAGCTCAGATTAGCTGCCTCCGCCTCCCTGAGTGCTGGGATTATAGGCGTGTGCCACCAAGCTGAGCTCTTTATTTCTAAAAACAAACACCATGAGCTTTCTGTTAAGTTGACAAAAGTTATTCTTGTTTTTTAGTTGTTAAAGTGAATCACACATTTTTAAGTTTCAAAAAATAAAAAATAAGAGCACTTCGTTACAAAGTTTTATAACCACCTGTAATGGCGATAGTAGAGATGGAACAGTTTATGAAATGTGTATAGTTTTTTTGTTTGTTTGTTTGTTTGTTTTGTTTAAGTTAAGGGAGTGTGAATTGAATTGTAGACTTCATTAGCCCAGATTTTGAAGCCAATTTGAGCATTTGCATAATGTCATTGTCATGCCACCCCTTCTCTTCTCCGGGTACTAACTGAGGAGTTACTCTGGAATTTTCTCCAAAGTTAAGCTACATCATGTCACTTCAGTGGAGACACTGCTCTCTAGTACCACTTTTCTGTGAAGAAATGAAGGCATGGCTAGATGTAGTTTATATATTACATATTCATACATTGCTGTGTGAAATTGGAGGGTTTTTTTATGGTAATCAAACTGCATTGTTAACTTGATTATATTCATCTGCAGAAAAAAAATAGATGTGATAAAACTTCTTATACGAGATGTTTAATGTCTTTTGTATGTAACTGCTTTTTCCCTGTTAGCTGTGGATATGAAGAAATGTGTCTAACTCATAGGCTAGAAAAGCAAAGAGATCAAGGCTGGATATAAGTCAGTAGGAAATGATGGATTGAAAAGAATCTTTAATTCTATCTTTATAATATCTTTGAAGTGCAAAAAAGAAATCCCAGTAAGAAAAATTTAAAAAACAAAAAACAAAAAAAAACCCACTGTAGAAACATTTTAAAGGTGTTCTAATGTGTCAGACACTTAATAATTATTTATCTCATTAATGATCCTCATTAATATTTGGAGGCATAACCGATTGATTTTTGAACTTACTGGAGGTATGATAGGATAAAACAAACACTGGGAATTGGAATTCCAATTCAAAACCTGGGAATTGGAAAAACTGAGTCCTGGTGTTTCTGCTACCACCCCATGTCCTTATGGGAATCACTCATTGTATGAGATTTTAAAATAATTTAGGAAAAATAGTTGACATAAGAACATTGTAAATTTTAGAGTGTAAAAAGTTAGAATGCTTAACATTTTACCCCCTCACAGTTCTATTTTTTGCATGTGATCTGTTATTATTCTTTATCTTATTAGTTTTTATCTTTTAGTCTTCATCTGTTACTATTCATTTTTTAATGCTTTTTCTTTTTAAAAATTTATTCAATTTACATCCCACTCATAATCCCCTCTCTCCTCTCCTTCTCACCCTTCCTCCCTCCTCCCCCATCCCTTCTGTCCTATTCCCAAGAAAAGGGGAGTCCCCCTACCCACCTACCAACTCCCAGTTCATCAGGACTGAGCTCCTCCTCTTCCCTTGAGGCCTGGCAAGAGCCACACTAGGGGGGAGTGATCAAAAAGCAGGCAACAGAGTCCATGTCAGAGTCAGCCCTGGCTCCTCAGGGAACCCACATGAAGCCTGAACTGCCCATCAGGTGTAGGAGACCTGGGTCTAGTCCATGCATGGTCCTTGGTTAGTGCTTCTGTTAGCACTAACCATCTGTTAGTTCAGATGGTTAGCCAACTAACCATCTGAACCTTGGTTAGTTGGCTCTGTTGGTCTTCTTGTGGAATTCCTGTCACTCCAGGGCCTTTTGTCAAGACCCAAAAGGCCCCTGAAGACAAGCCAGTTGAGTTGCCTGCACACCAACATGACATTCCTCCTTCTTTCTTTAATTAAAAATGAGGAATTAGGAAGGGAAAAAAGAGCATAAAAATGTCCATATTATATGGTGAAGAGTTGGAGAAGACCCTGCCTTGGAAAGTTCAGTGTAGTAGATAGGGTCAGCCATGCCCAAGAGCAGGTAGGGATGGATGGATGCTGGGAGAACCTAGAGCTGTTTTTCTTAGGTCTGAGGTACAACATCCCAGGCTTCTGTTAATAATAAATGGATTGGATCAGGTTAATCATCTTTGGCAGCTTCCTGCTGTTATTGGGGTAGAGACAGGGGGCCAACCAGCTGGAATGTTGACCAAGTCCAGTAAGAACAAGCTGTCCTATTTGCTTTTCAGGATCTGTGAGATCATCTGTGGCTAGGAAAGAAAATGCAGATCCAGCCTGAAGCAGTCTGTGAGGTTATACTGGAGCACCTGTGGGTAGCTGCTTTGGCTCGGTCATGGGTGTAGGTAACATCTGAACCTGACAAAAATACTGGAACGTATATAAGGGCAGAAGACAAAAGTAGGTTAGGGGGAACATTTTTTTTTTAGGTGAATATTTGAGATTTTTGAACTCATGGTTTTGGTAGTTGTGGGAGGGGAGTCTCAAAACTAGGGAAAGGGGAAGGAATCCCACCCTTTGAGATAAGCAATAGGTGGGAAACTTAAGCTGTTGATTGGCAGTACTTGTCTGGAGACATTCTGACCTGTGACATGGATTTGGGTGGATTTCCTGTAGCTTACAGGAATCCTTGTTGAGTTTTCAAAGGTAAGTTTTAAACATTTTAGCATCACCAGTGGTTGTAGTCTGTGGTGAAATACACATTCTAGAATAGGCAGTAGACAAGCACTTTTGTGTCCCAGCATAGCAGAGGCTTCAGAAACAATCTTGGGTTAAAAGCATGAACATTCCTTGAGGTGAGCTTAGGGAAGGCAGAAATCTCACTGATCTTTCTGACATGAAACAGTAACCTGAATGTCCTTAGGGAGGACAGAAACCTGTAGAGCAGAAGGGCAAAAGCTCACTTGATCTCAATTTTCAGCATGAGTACACATCTTAAGAGAGCCTTTCCCCCCTCTCTCCAAAAGACTAAATTGTTTATAAATTTAACACAGTGAAAAACATTTTTTAAGTCTATACTTAAAAGACAAAACAAAGGAAATTTAAAATCTCTTGCTGGAAACTGTAATAGTAGATCATATAGTGGAATGTTTTTTACTGGTTAGATGAATAAATCAGAGTTCCAATGATTAATGTCAAAGCTCTGAAAACTTTCAACACCACAATAGCATAGCAGCAGGAAGAAATCTGAAGCATATTTATCTGTTTTGGATACTTTAAATCATCTCCTTAGACCCTAAAATACTTTTTTAGGTCCTCATAACTTAAACTTCTATATCTTTAGGCCTTTTTTCACTTTACTATGAGACACAGGTGAGACTGCTGGGAACAGCTAAAGGCATGGTAAAAGGTTACACCTGAGACCTGCTTATTTTTAAACATGAAGTGTGTGGGTAAGACAAACCTGTTTGGACACTAAATAATGGATTGACTAGGTAACATGGTGAAAAGGATTGACTAACCTTGGAGAAAGGAGCTAGTAGTCTGTTTGAACCTGGTAACAAGGTACACTGTCTAGACCTAACAGTAGCAGCTCTAGGAGTGAGGATTAATGTCTCGTCCCCTGCATATGAAGAGGACTGAGAAGACATCTGAAGCTTCCCAGGACAGAAGTTGGCAGTGTGACTGTGGGACCTGAGTGTGAGGTTAAACAGACCTGCTGTGTTATCCTGGGCTCCGCGAGGGTGGTAGAGGTTGCTGAATCTGGGAGTCTTCAGTGCTCTGCACGCCAAGGAACCCAAAGGCTGGAAGTGTCTGTGGTGCTTGTGCTGATTAGGCCTCTGTGTCTGTGCGTGAGGGCTAGTCTGTGTGGAAGCATTTTGAGTTCCAGAGCCAGTCTGCCGGCAGTCAGGGCATGGCTTGTTGAGGAAGCTGTGGGACCAGTGTTCTTTCTGGCTGCATTTGAAAATGGGGCTTCACAGACCTCTTCTCTGTGGGAATGTCAATAGCCTCAGGGCAGTAGCCAAGCCTGGAGCATAGTTTTCTGCTGTAGCTGAGCCTGTCAGGAAGACTTAGAGGCTTCCTCTTGGGCTTTAAAAATGGAAAATCATTTTTACCAACTCCTGTTTGGGACCATCCTCTGCCATTTAATTAAGATGTCAGAAAGACCGTGTTGCATTTGTGGGACTATAAATGGATTTTTGGACTTGTTAATCTACAAGATGACTGACTACTAACTTACATTTCTTAATCACCAGTCAAAGACTAGGATTTTATGTTTTATCCCTGTTCGGTTTGAGCCTTAGAAATAATAATTCTGAATTAGAGCTCTTCTACCATTGAAATAAAACTTTTAATCCATAAACACATTTTATAAAGAGACTGGGAACTTTTTGACCTTTTTATGCTGTATCAGAATAGAGCATAGCAGTTTCCTGTATGATTAGCTTATAAAATGTCTGTAGTTTATAAAAATTTAAAGTCTTATTATAGATTAGCAAAAACAAGGCTAAGCATATTTAAGCCAGTGATTTTTAACCTTTTTGATAGTGAAGATAAAGCATAGTAACCAAGTTCTAACATTATAAATGATAGAATTTCTCTAGAATTTATATCCCAATTTAAAAGTATCTTTGGAATTATTTCACATGGTTTAAGATTATTTTAACATAAGCTTTTAACTATTGACCCTGGACTTTAAAAATATGACTGGGTCTGAGAAATGGTGAACAATAACCCATTCCTAGAGACAGCAAATTCAGTAGAATAGTATAAAAGAAGTTTAAAATTACAGTTGCATTTATTATACCAAATCCATTGGCTGGAAAACTTGGAGATGATCCCAGAGCACAGGCAGCTGGTAGCAGGAAACACAT